GCTGATGCAAAAGTGGCTCACAGCCACAGTCATCATGCAGGCAGCCCATCAGCCACTCAACTGCATTGACATAAGGGGAGTCATCACTGGAGACCAGAAAAAGAAGTTGAATCTCTCTCCTCAACACCCACTCCAGAGTAATAGAAGAAGCAAATGTTCTACTAGATGACCAGACATCAATGTAAAGATACTAGAAATACAAAAATCCAAGAAAATATGACACCATCAAAACAATACAGTAATTCTCAAATACCAGACCCTATAGAGCAGGAAACCCTTCAGATGACTGAAAATAAATTCCAAGCAACAGTCTTAAGAGATCCAATGAGAGATGAGAAGACTCAGACAACATAATAAAACAAGGAAAAAAATCCCAGGATATGAAGGAGGAAATTTACAAAGAGATTAATACCTTAAAAATAAATGTAGCAGAACTCATGGAACTAAAATTCATTCAATGAAATAAAAAACACAACTGAGAGCTTAAGCAGAAGAAAGAATTTCTGATCTTGAAGATAGTCTTTTTGAAATAACCCAGGTGGACAAAAAAAAAAAAAAAAAGAGAGAGAGAGAGAAAGAATTTAAAAAATGAAAAATATCTAAGATAGCTAGGGGACAACCTTTAAAAAAAAAAAAAAAGACCCCAAATAGCCAAAGCAATCCTGAGCAGATAAATAAATAAATAAAGCCAGAAGCATTACACTACCTGACTTCAAATCACACTACAAAGCAATAGTAACCAAAACAGCATAGTACTGTCATAAAAACAGACTGGCCATTAACAAAAAGACAGAATAACAAATGCTGACAAGGATGTGGAGAAAGGAGAACCCTCCTACACTGTTGGTAGGACTTTAAATTAGTGCAACCCATTATGGAAAACAGTATGGAGGTTTCTCAAACAACTACAGATAGAACTGCCATATGATCCAGCAATCCCACTGCTGAGTATATACCCAAAGGATTGGAAATCATCACATTGAAGGGATACCTGCACTCCCATGTTTATCACAGCTCTGTTTACAATAGCCAAGAGTTGGAACCAATCTAAATGTCCATCAACAGATGATGACTGGATAAGGAAAATGTGGTCTATATCCAACATGGAATACTATTCTACCATAAAAAGGAATGAAATTCTGCCATTTACAGCAACATGGATGAACTTAGAGAAAATCATGTTAAGTGAAATTAAGCCAAACACAAAAAGGGAAGCACCACATGTCCTCACTCATAAGTAGGAACTTAAAACAAATAAACAAAAAAAGAAGGAAAGAAAGATATAACAATCATGATTATTTGTTGAACTTTCAAAAGGGAGAACGGAACTAAGCCCACTAGAGGTGGAAAAGGAGGAGGGGGTGTTAGCAATAAATTGGTAAAGGACCAGAAAAAATAATTACATTTTGTAATGTTGAATATACTAGTTATCCTGATTTGAGCATCACATATTGCACACAGGTATTGATATTCAATGTGATGTTTTACAGATATGTAAAATCAATTGTTTTGATAAAATAAAGAAATAAAGAAAAGAAAATAAAAATAACCAGAAGCAAATATAAGGAAGGAAATAATAAAGATAAAAGCAGAAATAAATGTAATTGAAAATAAAAAGCAATAAAGAAAAATCAATGAAACAAAGAGTGGTTCTTAAAATAACAATCATGATTATTTGTTGAACTTTCAAAAGGGAGAACGGAACTAAGCCCACTGGAGGTGGAAAAGGAGGAGGGGGTGTTAGCAATAAATTGGTAAAGGACCAGAAAAAATAATTACATTTTGTAATGTTGAATATACTAGTTATCCTGATTTGAGCATCACATATTGCACACAGGTATTGATATTCAATGTGATGTTTTACAGATATGTAAAATCAATTGTTTTGATAAAATAAAGAAATAAAGAAAAGAAAATAAAAATAACCAGAAGCAAATATAAGGAAGGAAATAATAAAGATAAAAGCAGAAATCAATGTAATTGAAAATAAAAAGCAATAAAGAAAAATCAATGAAACAAAGAGTGGTTCTTAAAAAGATCAGTAAAACTAATGAACCTCTAACAAAACAAAGGAAAACATAAAATACAAATTACTAATATCAGGGATGAGACAAGGGATGTTATTACAGAGCCTGCAGACATGAGAAGGACATTAGAAAAAATTAAGAAAATATGAATAAACTATGGGCTTTAGTTAATAAGAAACTAAAAATACAAAACCAAAGATACTTAACATCATTAGCTATTGGAGAAACGAAAATGAAAATCACAATAAAATATTGCTATTCTCCTATCAGAATTGCTAAAATTAAAAACAAGAACAACACCAAATACTAGCAAGAGTGTGTAAAAATTAGATTACTCAAACATGGCTGGGGGAATGTAAAATGGTACTGCAACCTGGAAAACAATTTGCCAGTTTCTTATCAAAGTAAACATGCACTTACACAACTCAGCAATGGTACTTCTGGACACTTATCCCAGAGAAATAAAGACTGATCTTCATATAAAAATATGTACATAAATGCTTATAACAGGTTTAATTATAATAGCTTAAAGTTGGAGACAACTTAGATGTCCTTCATCAAGTGAATGGTTAAACAAACTGTGGTATATCCGAACCATGAAATACCACTCAACTATAAAAAGGAATGAAATATTGACGTACACACAACTTGTATGAATCTCTAGAGAATTATGCTGAGTGAGAAAACCAATCCCAAAATGTCACATGTATGATTCCATTTATATAATATTCTTGAATTGACAAAGTTATAGAAATGGAGAACAAATTAGTGGTTGCCATGTGTTAAGGAGTTAATAGGCATGGGAGGGAAGTTGGTGCTTCTTTAAAAGGAAAACATGAGGGATCCTTGTGTAGATGGAAGTACTCTCTCCTGACTATATCAGTGTCCATATTCTGGTCGTGATTATACTGTAATTTTGTAAGAGGATATAACTTTGGAGGAAATGAATGAAGTGTACATGGAATATACTATCTCTGTTTTAGAGTCTACATGTTAAAGACAACTGTATAACTGGGAAGTTCACAAAATACCTTTCATGTAGAATACTACTTTTGTTAAATGATAAAGAATGCAAATGTAATAATTTTAAAAATGTATATTATCACTCAACAGTAAACATCAGCAGTTGTTTAGAACTTAGATCAACAAAATGTTTTTCCAGGGAGTAGTAGTATATCACTGGCATTGTTTAGAATTGGTGTCATTGGATGATATGAAAAGCAGGTTTACGGGGCCGGCCCGTGGCTCACTCGGGAGACTATTGTGCTGATAACACCAAGGCCACGGGTTCGGATCCCATATAGGGATGGCCGGTTGGCTCACTGGGTGAGCATGGTGCTGACAACACCAAGTCAAGGGTTAAGATCCCCTTACCGGTCATCTTTTTAAAAAAATAAAATAAAATAAAATCAGGAAGTGTAAGTCCTCCAACTTTTTTCTTCTTTTCGACATTTTTTTTGGCTATTTTGGTTCCTTTGCATTTCCATATGAACTTCAGGATCAGCTTCTGATCAATTTCTGTAAGAAAGGTAGGTGGCATTTCAATAGGATCTGTGTTGAATCTGCAAATTGATTTGGGGGGAGTATTGCCATCTTAATAATATTAAATTTTCCAATCTATGAACATGGGTGTCTGTTTTAAAAATCTCTCTAAAGCACTCCCTATTATCTGCGACTGGGGCAGACCATTGTCCTACCCATGGGATGCCCATGCTGATGGCAGTGGCTGGGATGTAAGTCATTGAGTTGACTGCTAAAGTCAAATAGAATTAAACTCTGAAATTGAGATGTCAGGAACTAAGAAGCGAGTTGTCTCATGGGTTGTGTATATGACCATCGACGTACTCCATCTCTCCACAATCCACAGAATTCAGTTCTGCACCATTACTTCATCCTCACAGACCCTCAGGCTGAGGGATATTCATGAATATCCTCATATTCACTGAGGATATTCATGATGCAAAGTCCACTGAACATAGTTTAGTCTTCACCTTACCTAGACTGTAAGAAGCTTCTCTACAGTTTTTCACTGTATCCTTTTCAACGCAGTTTCTTTCTTGGCTACGATAGAAACACATGCCTCTGGTTTTTCTCTAACTATCCTTCTTACTCCTTCTCAATCTGTTTTATTGCTTCATTCTCCTCTATCTGATCTCAAAATGTTATGGGTACCTTACAGCTTGTTTCTAGATCATCTTCTCGTCTAACTTTATGTGTTTTCCACAGGAAACTTCCTCTTTTCTCATGGTTTTAAAAATGTCTGTGAAATCATAATTTCCAAATTTGTATCTCCAAATGAGATCAATATTCTATGATATAAACCCATATATTCAAACTGCCTATTCATATATTCATTTTAATGTCATATCTAATCTCAAAACATATTCCAATCCTAAAACAGATTTCAAATTTCAAACACATATTCGAAGTTGAACATTTGATTCCTCCCTTCAGATCTTCTCTTTCTAGGTCATCCCTCCCAAAATAATGGTTCTTTAGTACACCACACTGCTTGTCACTTCCTTCTTTGTCTTTCCTGCATGTCTAATTTTTCACCAAGCACTGTTAATTTTAGCTCCTGAACTATTTTGACTCTATCCATTTGTATTCATTTTTGGCACTTTCCTGCATATATTCAATAATTTCTCATGAGGAAGGTTATGGTGAGAAGCTACTTACGGAGTATACAGTTTCCTTTTGTCATGTTGAAAAGGTTTTGAAACTAGGTAGAAGTGGTGGTTGCACAACATTGTGAATACACCAAATGCCACTTAACTGTTCACTTTAAAAAGGTAAACTGTATGACATGTAAATTAATCTCAAGACTATTAAAGTTGATAAAAATCTAAAGATTAAAGAATTAACAGTTTAACTTTGGATTATTTTATTGTTTTGTACATTTAATTGCATCTATTTGGAAATAGAGTCAATTTATAAAACCCAAAAGAGGGTTTTCTAAAAGGTTCCCCAGCCTCAGTGAAGGACATGTGGCTGGCGCTTCAGCTGTAGAGTTTGGGTATTGGCTGCAGGTGTCTGCTGTGCACTGTGCCTCACAGCACAGAGGTAGGTGGCCGAATCACCAGGCTGAGAATCCCCAATGTATAAAGTACTGTGTCTTGATGACTTATCCAACGAAGCTTTAATTCTTCCACTCGTTTGCTCTGTCTGACTTGACTGAATTAACAACAGAGATGTGAGACCTTTCCCAGCGTCCTGCCTAAACCACTGAAGGAAGTAAATAGCACTATCGGTGTAACTGCAGTTGAGAACCAAGCTTTCTCCTTCATGGACATTCAGAGCTTCAGGATTCTGATTCACCTCCTGTTTACTGCTCACCCCTGTTTAGAAAAAGAACCACAGAGACGGTGACTGGTTAGTGGTTTACGATTCTTTGGAAATTACTTTTAAATGTATTTTTTCAATCTCTTCAGAAACTCCCAGAAAACCATACAGGTGCAACTTCCTATCTTTCTCTCCGGTGACTGGTTAGTGGTTTACGATTCTTTGGAAATTACTTTTAAATGTAGTTTTTCAATCTCTTCAGAAACTCCCAGAAAACCATACAGGTGCAACTTCCTATCTTTCTCTCTCTTCCCTAGGGAGAAATGTCCCAGGGTCTGCCTGTTCTTTACCCATTTCCAGATCCCTCTAACTCACAGTCTAGTTGAAGCCAAAGGAAGAGCAGGCCCAAGGGTTTCTCCATTCCTTCTTTACTCAGATTCACTGAGAACTGAACTCTTGTGTCTGAAATACTGACAATGGCTCACTAGATAAAGGATCTGTTTACTGTCTTATATGTTCAAACATTTCTACAGGAAACACAGTTGGCCCAGCCAACCAGAGACAAGTCACACACCACACACACACACACACACACACACACACACACACACACACACACACACACAC